ATCTAAAGCTATTTCAAGACGTGCTCGTCCATTCTAAACTCCGAGTTGGATGGGCAATAACAGCGAACAAACTCGCAGTCAACTCTTATCCAAGCGTCCACGTTTCGGCTAGATTACTACCGCCCCTGGTTTTTTAGAAACAAAATTCCCGCCTACTATAACTTACAATGCCCTATGCAGGGTATCTTTCAATCGCGCATTTTTTGGAAGCGACTACGTAGAGATTCACAGCAGTTTTACACAATTTGAAGCCATATGACTATGGTTTTTGCTATGGATCTCGAGTTACAATAAATATCCATATTAGGCTACCAAGAAATTCGCTTTTCAAATATCATACACGTATTTGGTGATTGATTATGCTCTGTGCGGAGCTACGACTGAATTTCGCAAAACATCTTGTATACTCCAGCATTGTATCCATCCGTTTCTGTCTCTCGCCAGCGTCATCCACGATGTTGGTATTGAACTGCGGCGGCGACGTTTGCGAGGTGCAGATCCGTTACTCGTTACGAGTTGAAAATGCAGCTGGTCCATCCCTGCAACGAACACATCAGCCCATCTGGTCGGTAGCCTCCCTCGAAGACGTTTCGCTTTGCGAGGGATCCATTCCAGTGTCCATCTGTTGTCTGTTCTTCTCATTATATGACCAGTCCAGATGTTTTGCCTTAGAGACGTATTCCGTTGGATCGCCAAGACGAGGCAAAGTCTGAACTGCGAAGTCCGACGAGAGGTTGAGTGCGTCGGTTGTATATCAGAAGACGTCGTTCCAGCGCTCTGTGGGTTGTTCGGAGAGCCTTTACGTAGCCATAGTGTCAGGCCACGTCTCTGCTGCGTAGCAGAGCACAGGGAGAACAGTTGAATCGAACAGCTGGGCTCGGAGCTCTGGGTCCGTCAGCTGGTCCGTGGCTTCCTATAACGGCCCAAAGGCGGCCCAAGCTGCACTTCGCCTCCTGTTTAGTTCTTCTTTGAGATCGTTCTCCATGTTCATCGATCGCCCGAGTTATACGTGAGAAGACGTCTCCGCGACCGGAGAGCCTTCTAATTCCATTTCCTGATCCTCGCAAAAAGTGTTCTTCATGGAGTCTTCTTCGGGTTAATTCGCTATCCTATCCGCTTCCCTACTTCGTTTAGTTCCTTCAATATCGTCTCCGCTTCAGTGATATTCTTCGAAAAGAGAACAATTTGTCCGCAAAACGAAGGTTCGAGGGAATCTCCTATCAACTCGTATAATTCTCTCATTCTAATCCAGTGATTTCATCACTGACTGTGACGCGACGGTAAACAGCTTTGGCGACACCGTTTTAGAGCAGTTTTTGTAGCAGTCGGCCATTTTCCTCACGTAAGATAGGTCCACCTTTTGGTCGACGAGCGCTGACATATGGCATTAGTCTCGACGCTGTCAAACCCCTTCTCATATTCAACAAAGGTTAGGACGAGAGGTAGGCGGTACTCTCGGCATACCTCGATAATCCTCGATGTGATCCAGACAGTTTCGAGGATTATCGAGGTCTGCCAGTTTTGAGGATTATCGAGGCTGAATCCCTGGCGAAATCCAGCTTGTTCCACAGGTTGGGCTTTATCCAGTGTCCTTGATATGCGAGCAAGAATAATCTTCGTAAAGAGCTTGTAAAGCACGCTCAGCAGGCAT